CTCCCATTGGCTCCCATTCACCCTGCTCGTTTTCCCTCCAGGGCCTGGACGGCCGTCCACCAAGCACAGCCCGTACATCGCTGCCGTGCGCAAGATCTACATCCAGACCCGCCGCCAGAGGAAGCTGCACCTGGTGGTGGGCGGGTTCGCGTACCTGCTCCCCAAGACCTCAGTGGTCCTCCGCTGCCCCACGCGGAGGTTCCGCAAGCCCCTCATCACCTGGGAGAAGGACGGGCAGCACCTCATCAGCTCGGCGCACGTCACCGTGGCCCCCTTCGGCTACCTGAAGATCCACCGCCTGAAGCCCTCGGACGCGGGCACCTACACCTGCTCCGCGGGGCCGGCCCGGGAGCAGTTCGTCCTCAAGCTGGTGGGGGGCAACCGGAAGCTGGTGGCCCGGCCTCTGAGCCCGAGGAGCGAGGAGGAGGCCCTGGCGGGGAGGAAGGCAAGTGCCCACGAGGCCCTGCGGACCCACAGACCCCAGAAGGGCATCCTCGCCCACGGCAGCAAGGGGGAGAAGCGGGGCCTGGCCGCCGACGCCGGGAGCCCGTACGACGAGCTGGTGGCGCGGCTGCTGGAGCAGGGCGGCTGGCCCGGGGAGCTGCTGGCCTCCTGGGAGGGCCCGGACTCGGCCGAGAGGAACGTGTCGTCGGAGGAGGAGGAGGACGGCAATGCGGAGCCGGGACCCCTGCCGCTGCCCGTCACCGTGGCACTGGAGCAGGCCCGCCTGGACCGCCTGCTCCGGAACCTCTCCCTGCAGCCCGAGGAGCTGCGCGACGTCGCCAGCAAGCACCTGGTGGCCCAGCTGGCCCAGGAGGTCTTCCGCAGCCTGCTGGAGCATCGCGACCCGCGCCTCAAGCCCTCGGAGCGGGCGGCCCCCGCCGTGGCCGTCCACCCGCACAAGCACGTGTCCGGCTTCAGCAGCTCGCTCCGCTCCGCCACCTCCGGGGAGGCTGGGGGCGGCTCGCGCCGGGCGCCCCGCAAGCCCACCATCCTGCGCAAGATCTCCGCCGCGCAGCAGCTCTCGGCCTCCGAGGTGGTCACGCATCTGGGACAGACAGTGGCCCTGGCCAGCGGGACGCTCAGCGTCCTTCTGCACTGTGAGGCCGTCGGCAGCCCGAGGCCGACCATCAGCTGGGCCCGGAACGGAGAATCGGTGCAGTTCAGCAGCAGGTGAGGCCTGCAGCGCCCCGGGCTGGAGGGAGAGAGGGCGGGCGGGCGGGTGGGCAAGGGCTACCTTCCTGCCCAGGTCCCCCAACTCATGCTTCCAGAGGTACATCCTGGTGGCATAGTGCTGATGCATGCGGCGTGCTGATGCATGCGGCGTTCGGCTGCCCTCTCTAAGGCCAGCAGTTCAAAACCACCGGCCGCTGCACCTCGGGAGAAAGATGGGGCTTTCTACTCCCATAAACCGTCACAGAAACGCACAAGGGCAGTTCTTCCGTGCCCTGTGGTCGCTATGAGTCGGCATCAATTGATGGCAGTGAGTTTGGTTTGGGGAAACTAGCAACGAAGACTTGCCATTCTGCGGCTCTAAACGGTATGCTCTCATCTTAATAAGGTGAAGGCACGACAGCCCATCTCTATCTCCCCGCCCCCACCCCACCCCCCAGCTCGGAGATTAAGGAGATCCTCTCTGTACCTTTGAACTCTTGGCAGAAAGAGGTCATTCCAGTCCAAGGCATCGTTCTATTACCCTGTCATGGGATGAACGATTGAAAAACTTCAGCATTGGGGCGTGATCTCCCTTGTGGTCTTCTAGGCCTGGGGAAAGGGTACAGCCAGGACATGCCCCTCCCTGGGGGTGAGCCATCCTCTGGCTGGGCCCGACAAGGCTGTTGGTTCCAGAGAGCTTTTACTCTGGGTGGGACCTATGGTCAGTTACTCACATACTGTCTTTCAGTGGCCTGCTTCTTTGGCTTTGGCGTTTTGATGTGTCAGTCTGGGAGGACAGCATGCATCACTGGCAGGTTTCCTTTGGTGGTCTGGTGCTGTGCTGGCTGCTGTTGGACGCTGTGGAGTCAACCTCCAACTCCTGGGGCCCCCTTATGTTATAGTATAGATCTTCTCCCTAGGGGGTATAGCCTTGTGATCTTTACAGAAGCAATCTGCCAGGCCTTTCTGCCACGGAGCCACCGAGTCGGTTCCAACTGCCAACCTCTGGGTGAGCAGCCAGGTGTAAACCATGTGCGTGTCCCCAGCTCTTGTGTGGGATGTAGCCATTCATAAGGTAGCATCAGTGATGATAATAGAAGTCATGCTGATATGAGTCATTTTTTCTGATAAATATCTTTTATTAGAAATATGTGTAACCCCTTTAAAAGGTCACAAACTGGTTTTATTTATATAATATCCTATGTAAAACATACTTTTTAAAAAAATTATTTTACTGGGAGCTCGTACAATTCTTATCACAATCCATCCATACATCCATTGTGTCAAGCATGAGTCTTTTAACAGACTGGTAACACAGTGGGAAGCAGGCGGTTGCTAACGGAAGGGTCAGAAGTTTGAACCCACAAGCCACTTAGTGGGAAGAAGAACTGGTAGTTTGCTTCCATAAAGATTTGTTGTTGTTGTTGTTGTTAGGTACCATCAAGTCGGTACCTAACTCATATCAACCTTATGTATGGCAGGACAAAATGCTCTCTCCTCACAAGTATTTCTGTTTAAGACCATTGTGTCCATCCATCTCATTCAGAATCTTCCCCCTTTTCACAGGCCACCTACTTTTTCAAGTATGAGGTCCTTTTCCAGGTACCAGTCTCTCCTGACCCCATGTCCACAGTACACGACACCAAGTCTTGCCATCCTTGCAGGAGCGCTGTGGCTGGGCTTTTTCCCAAGATAGATGTGTTCATGCTTCTGACCACCCATTGGCATATTTAGTCGTCGTCAGTTCTGCAGCCTTCCTTACCATCACCCACCTTTCCTACGGGTGCGAGGAGTCTGTAAATACGGCACACCTTGTCCTCAAGGTGACTTACTGCTCTTTAACATTTCAGTGGGTGTTGTGCAGTGCTTTGTGACCTGGGAAGCCCTACGGAGCACCCCTGCTCTATCCTGGAGGGGGTGCCCTGAGTCAGCATCCGTGAGGCCGCAGGGGGTTCTTTATGGACCAAGTGCTGTGCTTTCTACATATCCTCTCTCTCATAATCTTTGCAGTAACGCTGACAATGGCAGTGGCAGCTGGCATTAATTGAGATGTGTCTGTCTGCCAGGAAAGTATAAATTCTGTGCATATGAGGGGACTTCAAAAGTTTGTGGGGGGGGATCCCATCCCCTTTTCATTCCAGTGTTCCACAGACTTTGTTTTTCTAAAATATTATTGTGAATTAGGTGGGGGTTTACATTTCACATTCTCATATTTGTGTTCAACAACTTGAACAATTTATCAAGCCTCCTAGTACCTTCCCTCGCCCCCCACTGTTTTCCTTCCCCAAGTTAGCAAATTAGCACCTGTCTGCCTTTTGCTTCTCAATCCCTCCCTTTCCTTCTCACCCCGGTGGCCATCAAAGCCTGTTGCATTTGGTACGAAAACCTTTTTGAAACCCCTTTGTATCATCTCTCCAAATCCTAACAGTAGGCCTAAGGAGTTGGTACAGTTTTTATCCACACTTCACAGCTGTTTAGAGCCTAGCTAAAGGTCATGTGTATTATATCATAGAGCTCAGGTGTGTGACAAAAGTTGGAGAGGCAGTCACTTGGAAAACCACAGACTTTGTGCCAGAGAGAAACATTAAAGATCATCTGGGCCAAATTCCTCATTTAAATCTTCATTTGCTTTGAATCCCAGTGTAATACTCTTTTCATTTAAGTCTACTAAATGGTGTTGCTTGGCTACACCCCTTCTCCAGTTTGATAACCGGGAAAAGAAGGAGAGTCAAGGTAGGATTTATTGTGCCGTGCACTATGCCAGGTTTATGAGTATGTAACTGCCTTTGTTGTTCTAGAATAGTCTATCCACAAGATTGATGGTAGCCTCCATTTCTACATAGAAGACCAAGGGTCAACAGCTCACCCCAGATCACACTTCAGCTAGAAGTGAATAGCAGATTCAATGTCAAGTTGATCTGATTCTAAAGACCAGCTCCGTTTACTCTTCTGAAACTCTGTGAACAAGTGTGACTTTGTCCTGCCAACACCCTCTGGATCTTATAAATGGCAACATTGTCTCTCAGACTTAGTGCTTAAAGCTAGGTAGCTTTCATGACAAGAATCACCAACATTTCTCATACGTGGCCTTCTAGTGTGGCAGACATTGTGCTCAGTAGCTTGAAGAAATTTTCTTATTTACTGAGATAAGTAACCGTGTTTCCATATCACAGTTAAGCTGAGGCACTACGGTTAAAGCCATGCAGACATGTTGAAATCAGGGCGCGAACCCAGGTATCCCTCAAGCACATGAGCTCTTCACTTCTCTTGTTTGCACCTCGATCTTCTCCACCTCTACCCTTATGCTTGCCTTGATCAGCTTCATTGTCCTGAACAAAGTCATTCTTTAAAAAAAAATCTGTGTAAAGAGGTTGTGGGTCAAGTCAACCAGTTGCAGTGAATCCCCTGATGTCACTGGTTCACTGAGCACTGAGAATCAGCTCCAGAAATGGGTGCTGGCTGAGAACGGTCCTCTAGGGCTCAGGTGGGCCATACGCAGGTGCTCACCATCAGTGCATGTGGCCATCCTCGGTACCCACAGCACACCTTCTCCTTCACCAGCCAGCAGGTTTCTTAAATGTAGGTACCAAGTTATATTCATACGTTCAGCACTCATTGGGCATGTTTGATGCCGGGGTTGAAAGGAGTAAGAATTGGATGATTAAGGAAATATTGATATTTCTTGGCTAACCACACATGCTGTGCCACCATGATCAGGACCTCCATACCCAAATGTAACAGACAAACCATGGTCCCTATTTTAGAAATGAAGACGCTCAGGCTCATGGTACTTATAGAACATGGCCAAGTAGTCAAAGGCAGTATCAAGAGAGCAAGTTCGATCAAAGTTGGACAAACTCAAGCCCAGGCTGTTTCGATAGAAGACGTGAATGAGTTCATACCCACATGCATCTCCCATACGTCACAAGAGCTGCCCATTTGCCTCAGTGCAGGCATGAGCTCACCCACTCACGGGTCTCTACTTTCATCTCCCGGCTATTTCCAGGACCCCTTCCCTTGGAAAGGGCTCCTTCCACCCGAAAAAGTTGTAGAAAAAGATGGGATAGAAAGGGGCCATCGGGGCTCTGCCCTGCCCTGGATCTGCGGAGAAAACACCAAGCCCACGGTTTTCTCAGGGCTCCTGAGAACTGGAGATTTGGGGCGACCTCAAGGACTGCGGTCCATACAGGAATGATCTGCGAGGAGTTAGAATTGTCCAGAGGGGTTTCGGCTGATCTGGCGAGGACGGTCACTTTTCACGTTCTCTGTGTCTTCATTTCAAAGTGACAAGGTTAATCCAACTCATCTCTGTCATCCCTTTTGCCTTCTTCACACATTCATGAAAGTTAAATCCAGGTGCTGGGGAGTGATTCTACCTCATGGTCACCCACATATACCAGAAAACTGCACCACATCAGGTTTTCGATGGCTTTTATTTTCGGCAGATAACCCTTTCTTCTTTGATGCCCATAGGGGGATTGAATTACTAATCTTTTGGTGAGCTGCCAATCACCCAGGAGATAAAAACCCAGTTGTTGATGGGAAGTGGGGAGAGCCTTGAGGGAAGTCACTTCCAAGTGTGTTGCATGAGCTATTTCTGAGGGGTAGACGCGCTCAGGGATCACATGGGTTTCAGGAATGCTCACGTAAAGCTAGACGTAGGTATTTACTGATGAATTTTACTTCTTTTTTTAATACACCATTTGGGCTTTCGCCCCCCCTTTTTTAAATCATTTTACTGGGGGCTCCTACAACTCTTACCATAATCCATACTTACATCCATTGTGTCAAGTACATTTGTACATTTCTTGCCATCATCATTCTCAAAACATTTGCTTTCTGCTTGAGCCCTTGGTATCAGCTCCCCATTTTCGCCTCCCCACCCCTCTTCCCTCACGAACCCTTGATAATTTATAAATTATTATTATTTTGTCATGTCTTATATTGTCTGACATCTCCCTTCACCCACTTTTCTGTTGTCCATCCCCCAGGTAAGGGGTCATATGTAGATCCTTGTA